CAAACTGCACCAGGGAGGTTCAGTTTGGAGGTTAGAGAAAAATAAAATTCTTCATGGAAAACTGGCCAGCCCTGGCACGGACCCTCCAGGAGTCCCCATCCCTGGTGGCATTCCAAAACCACCCTGGGCACATGGAGTGGCTGCCTGATCCTAAAGGCCTTTTCCAACCCTAAAGTTCTGGGATTCCATGATCCTCCTGCCTGTCTCCACATTCAGATTCCTCCTTTGCCAATGCCAAGTGACGAGAGGAATGCTTGATTTTGTGTTTTAAGTGCTTTTAGACACATTTACCCCGTTTAACAGTAATTTGGAACATTAAAGGCACTTTAGAAAAATGTAAGATATAGGAGAAGCCACTGAAACAGCAGATACTGAATTTTTATAGAATTTCTTAGTGAATATAAAACAGGTCAGCTGTACTTTCTAAATCTGCAAATCTCTCTGCTTTTGTTATGTCAGAGTTGATTGTCACGATTTTTCTCTCCACAATTGAAAATGATGTTTTCAAAACTGGCACAAAAGCAGCTGCAGAAAACTGACCATGAATTCAGAAGTGTTTCATCCCAAAAGCACTTTACACTTTCTTTTTTTTGCTAGATGAGGAACCTTTTTAATGTGTTTTTTTGGCATAAGCAAAACCCTCCCAGTCCCCAGATGAAGTTAGTGCAGAAAAAGAAAATAAAATTTGATGTAGGCACTGATTAGGAAGAAATTATGCATCAGTCAGTCTTGATTACAAAAACACTCGAGTATGGAATTTGAATCCTTTCTCAAAGAGCAATACTGTACATGGTCATTTACAGGGAAAGGGGAGGAAGAGCCACAGGTTTGGATGATTGTGTAATCACAGAATTCCAGCCTGCTTTGGGTTGGAGGTCCCTGAAAGCTCATCCACCTTCCACTGCCCCAGCCTGCTCAGGCCCCACTTGAAAAGCTGCTGCTGAACAGAAATGGAAGGAAATCAGAGTGAGAAAAAGCCTTTCTGGCTTTGGATCCTCAGCTCTCACTGATGTTTGTTCTGTGTTTTTAAGTGCCTGGAGAAATGAGCAGGCACTTTCAAATGTAAATGTGCAAAAGCAAATAAATACCAAATTCCTAATTTAGCAAAACTGCAATTCTGATGTGCAGATAAACTGAAGTGCAATCCATCATAATTTGATTTTTATATCTCCTTTCTCCTAAATAACTTTAAAACCAGTTCCTTCCAATTCTTGACATCTATTCCCACATTCCTTGTAACATCATTTTTTTTCAGTTTTATGAAAGTATGAGGAGGAGAAAGTGACAGAAGAAGAGAAACAGAAAATCACAACAGAAATCATTGTGATTTGAGCCAATTAATTCCTCATTAGCATTTTCCATGATGTATGAGCCTTCCCCCCAATAAACAAAGCTAAAAAAGACTTCAGGAGTCCATTTAGGAAAACTAATGAAAAGAAAATGTATTTATATATTTTTATTACTGTTTTGTCTGTAAAATTTAATGTTTTATAATCTTCTGATGGATAATCTGGGAGGGAGAATTCCCCTGCTGCTGTTTGGAGGTGGCAGGAGCAGCAGCAGCAGTGATATTTCCTAACCAGCTCTGCCCATTCACATCCACCTCAAAGTTTCCACAACTTCATTTTACCCCAACTATTAAAAAAACTCCTCAGCACCTCCCTGGAATTTGACTGTGAGAGATCTGGCACTGGGGAATGTGCATAACATGGGAGAGGAAGTGCAGAAGGTGCTGATGGAAACAAAGCTGCTGTGCAAAGCTCAGAGATCCTGGGATTGAGGATCTCAGAAATTGTGGCATTTGGGGCAGGCAAGAAGGCACTGTGAACATCAGATTTCTGAGATTATTAGTAAAAGTAAAAGTAAAATTATTATCAAAATCAAAATCAAAATTAAAATATAACAACAACAATAATAATAGTAATTATTATTATTATTATTATTATTATTATTAGTAGTAGTAGTAGTAGTAGTAGTAGTAGTAGTATTAGTAGTAGTAGTAGTGAAGATATTGGGACCCATTTAATTTCAAATGATCAGTTTCTGTTATGAGGCCTTCAGAAACACACACATGGGAAATGGTGAGGAAGAACTTTTCTCAGGTGTTGCTTTTATCTAAATTCATAACCAGAACAACGTTGTGGTAACAATGTTCTTTGTTTAAAAATATTACCTATGATAACTTTGAGGAATAAAACCACAGCAACCTCACACAACCGATCCCTGACTCTTCCCTGGCACTTCTGACAGGGACACAGAAGCAGGGAATCCCCGAGGCTGGAAAATCCCTCTGAGCCCATCAATTCCAGCAGTTCCCCAGCACTGCCGAGGCCACCCGTGTCCCCAGGTGCCACATGCAAAGGCTTTTAAACGCCCCCAGGGATGGGGACTCCACCACTGCCCAGGGCAGGACAAACCTTTCCAGGCAGAAATTCTCCCAAATCTCCAAGCTAAACCTCTGCTGATGCAATGTGAGGCCATGTCCACGTCCTAGGAGCAGAGCCAGAGCCCCCCTGGCTGCACCCTCCTGTCAGGGAGCTGTAGAGAGTGATGCCAAAGCCTCCAACTCCCACTTCTTGGTGGCCAAAAGCTACTTTAGGTAGCCCCAGCTCACGGAGCAGCTCACACCCCTGCAGGTGTGTGAGACATCGTCCTGTTTCCCATTCTTGGGAGTCTGGAGGTCATTTGGGCTGAGAACACCAATACCCAACCTTTCAGCGCTGGCAGCTGGGCCACGTTGTTTTACAGAGCGAGGATGAGGGGGATGGCGCCAGGGGCTGAGGGCAGAGGGCAGGGAGGGTGGCACTGACCTCTCTGGAGCAGGGGGTGGTGGAAGGCTGGCACGGGCAGGGTCTCTGTGGTCGCTGGCTCACAGAAGTAGGCTCGGAGCCAGGCCGTGCACTGCTGCAGGGGCTCCGGCATCTCCTCGGCCCCCTCGCACACCTCGCAAGCCGCCCAGGGCTCTGCCCTGCTGAGACACAGAGAAGTGCAAGGTTACAGTGGTAAAAGTGACAAAACCAGGCTGGACTGGGCTCTGAACAACCTGCTCCCTTGAGTGGAACAATGCGGGCTTGAGGGTCCCTTCCAAGCAACACAACGCTGCGATGCTGCCATAAACCTGAGTATTCACAATGTATTGGCAAAATAAAAACCTCAAAGCATCTAATCTGGAGTCAGATGTTTATTCTTCCCGGAGAAAAGTGAAGGGATTCCTCACAGCAGTAACAAAAACTCACCCTCATCACCTCCACAAATGCAAAGACAACACAGTGTTATAAACACCTGGAAAAACCCATGGAAGATGGGTACGAGGGAACAGCCACTGGGAAATGTCAGCGAGCAAGAACACCACCCAAGCCCATGGAGGGTGACACATCCTTGTGCTTCCAGGAGGGATGGAGGTGAGGATTGTCCTCTGTGTCCCCTGGGGTGCAGCCCCTTGTCCCCAGGCCATCCCTGGGGAAGGAGGGAAGGAAGCAGCTCCCGCTTCCTCCAGCGCCGCGGCAGCTCTCTGCTTCCCTGCCCTGATTGAATTGGAAGGAAGCAATTGAGAATTCATTTGATTTTCAATGGCAGCTCGTGCTTGCAGGGGCTGAGGAGCAAAGTGAGCGAACAGAAAGCACCTGTAAATAAAAATCTGCTTCTTCCCTTGCTCCTTCTTTTTTTTCTTTTCCTCTGGAAGAGCAAGGCGTGGAGGAGAGCGGTGAAAAAGGGAGCCCTGGATTTGCACATGGAAACACCAATAAAACAGAAAAACTCCATCTCCTCACGGCTCTGGGAGCAGGAGCTCTGGACTCAGCCTCCAGCTGCTGACAGGGACCAGCCCAAGGGCACCCAACCACCATCAGTCACCCCCAAAACAAGTGGGGAGCAGCCAGGGAGATTCTGGGAGCACCTCAAGGGGCTCCAGGGGCGCTGGAGAGGGACTGGGGACAAGGGATGAGGGACAGGACACAGGGAATGGCTTCACTGCCAGAGGGCAGGGATGGATGGGATTTTGGGAATTGGGAATTGTTCCCTGGGATGGAATTCCCAGAGCAGCTGTGGCTGCCCCTGGATCCCTGGCAGTGCCCAGGGCCAGGCTGGACACTGGGGCTGGAGCAGCTGGGACAGTGGGAGGTGTCCCTGGCATGGCTGGGTGGCCCTGGGTGGGATTTCAGGTTCTGTTCTGAGCCAAACCACCACACACACATTCCTCACTTCTCCAGGTGCTCCCTGGCAGGAGCGTTTGGATAGGATTTATTTTTAATTTTCTTTTTAATTGCTGCTTTTAATCACAGTGCCCTGCCACTGCTGAACATCTCCAGATGTTTTTGGTGGGGTCGTTCTCCCAGCAATTCAACACCAGAGGCTTTCCCAACACCTGCCACCTCCACGGCCACCCCCACTTTGGCCAGGAAAGGGAATGCTTTGTGAGGCAGAAATGGATTTGCTCTCCAGGAATGCTCTTTTCCTGCTGGACACACTCCACGTGCCAACACACACACCCAGAGCTTCAAACTGGCAGGGAGCTGAAAATAAAGGAAAACCTTCACATTCATTTTGCTTGGCTAGAGGTGGCAACAGCTATTCCTGGGAATTTGACAGCTTTACTAGAGAAAAGGAAGGCACAGAACTCATGCATGGAGTCTCCTGCTGGCCCTCCTCCCCTCCCTGCCCTTCCCTCCTCCCCTTTGCCTCTCCAAACTTGCACAGCAGAACTTCCACAAACTACCTCGGCATTAAATATCCCACTGAAAACACCAGCTGCCTTTTAAGGGATTTTCTCAGGCTTCAAAGTCTTAAGGACCTTTCAAAGAGCAGAGTCCAAGTGGTCTCAAAACCTCGGTAAGAAGAGCAGAGGAGTTACATCATGGGAAATTCCCCTCCTGGAAGGAATCCCTCTGCTCAGGGTCAGATTTCTTGGAAGGTTTCTCGACACCCTACTCCAGGCACGGATCTTTGGGCACCTCTGAGTCAAGGCAGACAGGAACAAGCTGAAATTTAGGGAAAAACACACACCTGAGAGTCACATGAACTACCTGGGTGTGGGAATCCAGAGCTTCCCTCTGGCTGCCCTGGGACCCTGGCAGGGGTCAGGAACCCCCCTGGACAGAGCCCCCAGAGACACTGGCTGTGATCTCTGGCCATGGAAAAGAGTTTTCAACCTTACAGGATCAATTACCAGCTCTGAGTGTTTGATATCAGTAATAATTAAGTGTGGCATGGGTGCAAAAGTAAAATTTTAGGTTTCTAGATTAGGGGTTCAAAGGGGACAAGATGGAGGAAATTGCAAGTGCAGTGTCACACTCTGATGGAAGTGGAAACTATTTAAATAATATGAATGTGGTTTAAATAAATGTTCCTTATGATTCCAGCCCCACTAAAAAAAAAAATAAAAAAATTGTTACTTTTTAAGTAAAAAATAAAAAATTCTCCAGGCTGAAAACAAAGCAGTCAGATTTCTTACACACTTTGCTTAGGATTTGGGTTTTCTATTTTTCAATGAACACACTTGTGTTACTTTCCTGTGTAAAAGCAAAATTGCATCTTGTTGATCACAAGTTTAAGATTTAAATTTTCCATAGGCAAGCAGTGAATGGCCACTTTGGCCACCACCCTGTGCTGCTGGTGCCTCTGCCCCTATTTCCTTGGGGGTCACCCAGGGCAGGACATTAAGAAAGGCCCTTTTTTCCTTTTTCATTCCTAAAGTTGAGGCCCTGGTGTTGAAATCCGTGGTATTGATGATTCCAAGATTGTAAAAGTCTCTGTCTGTCAGCCCCGCTGCCAAAGCAAAGCCATAATTGGTCTGTGCTGGTTTCCAGGTTGTTTATTCTGTTTTTCTCTCACATGTTCTGCTGCCCTGCCCAGCTCTGTCCTGCAGGGCAGCGTGTGGGGCTCTGCCCTCAGTGGGATGTGACAAACATTAAATACCAGAAACTCCCTGGGCTG